GGGAGGGTGCCCAGGTCGTTCTGCTCCGCCTCGGCGGGACCGCGCTGCGCTCCCAACGCAGCTGGAAGTAAGCGTCTGCGCGATGCTGGGGCGGAGGCGCAGAACTGAGGTAGCCACATTGACGATTGTTATTTTAAAGCCTCTCTGCTTATTTGGCACCTTACGCTGTCCCTCCTGTTTAGTCACAGAGCAAGGAAAGGGGACCCTGTAGTTTTCACGGACCTTGTATCATAATGAGGGATTGCTGAGAGTTCTCCCAACTCAGCGTTGTCAATTCCTTCACTTCTGAGGAGAAATGACCAGGCAGAAAATCTGATAGGGCAAACTCACCCCATATCCTGTGACTTACAATTTGACCAAATGGTCTTTTGTTGAGAAATGCACTCAACGGAGCAGTACAAAAGCACTGGGTCACAGGGCACTTCGGCTGCTGCATTGTCAACAGCTTGAGAGTTCCATTTATGTTGTTAAAAATTGTATATAATGGCGTCATAATGCCATCGTGCCTCACACCAAGATCCAGACAGTTTTCGTAAGCTGTTTCTTTAAGACTAACTGGTAAGGTTCAGGTATTCAAAGTAATTCTGTTGACAACAACCAGGGCACATTTCTCTTTAGGTCTCCAAAATGACCAATTTTGCAAAGGACACAGCTCGCTGGCGCTTTCTCAGAGGCAGTGGTAACTACCATTATCACAACAGGAGCTGTGCAAACCTGACTTGTTGCTTTGCTGAAGACCTCCAGGTAAAAGGAAAAACCCTGCATACTCCTGGAAATCACTTCAGTGATTCAGTAGGTGATATTCTTCTGAGTAAGTTTTAAGCTGATTCCTAGCATAGAGCTTGAAGGTCACTGTGGTTTAAGAAACACAAATATATTAATATATATCCAAGGTCACAGGTCATGTGGTCTGTGATACTACCTGTAGCAATTATGTTGTTAAGCCAATCTCCTGGCTGAGTTGTACTTCAAGGAAGTACATCCCAGCTATCTTTGCTTTTTCTTTAACACATTTTCCTTGAGAGGTTCATGTGCATGCATACACACACAAATAAATGGAGGTTTGACAGAAACAATACTCTCTAGCTTTGTGGCCAGAAGGTAATCCATATGTAAATCTTACAGTACACAGTCTCATACAAAAATTCAATTGTAACTTATATGCCCACACAGCAGTCTGACATACTGATCCTTGAATGTGACATTCTTCAGATGAAATGGTCTCCTACTGTAAAGTAGATTCATGCCTGTTTGGTGTCATCAGAAGATCAGAGATTTGCTCTGTGGAAAGGCAAGATATTTCTTCTGTTCTCAGAGCTTCAATCAGTAGATGATTACTTTAAAATATAACTTATGATCCAAAGGAGCCATGCTAACAGAGTTGCAAGATGATGATGGCTAGGATGGGCCATATTGCTCCTGAGGGAACCTGACCAGACAGGCATTGTTATACTGTGGTGCTCAGATTCCTGGAAGATCTTGCAAAAATAGTAACTTATAAATTGGGTTTTACCATTGGAACCACATGAAGGGACCAACTCTACTACCTCAGCAGAAGCCGGATCTTTGAAGTTCTGTTGTACTTCAAGATATGCCTTTCTCCCTCCAAGTTAGTGCGAGCCCACAAACCTAGCTTGGCCTTGAAGCGGAGTGGAAATTATTTTCTTAAGCTGTTCTTTCATATTTACTTTAAGCTCATTTAATTTGCCATCTTTCCTGGGTCCATATTCCTGCTCTTTACAATGGGCCAACTAGTGGAGCTTGTACAACCGCATGGTGAGTTGCACACAGAAGTTAATCAAGGCAAAAAACCCAACTCAACTAAAAATGATACACGTTCTGCCATACAGTATCAATTATTTCTTTCGTTTCACCACCCACTCATATTAGCTCCACTGCTGCCACAACCAAACAGTGGCGAGAGAACAAGATCACACATTTTTCCAGTAGCTTTCACTTAGATCTATTTTACATAGATCATTGTAAAATCACAGCCTGATTCCAAAAGCTTCTCGGTGTCCTTGTGGGATCATGAATGAGAAGGTTCCTTGGTGCTGACAGAGCATCTGCTAGGTGGCAGGGTCAGAAGACAACATTAGAAAGGCAAACCAGACAATCTAATGCAGGAAGCAATTCCAGAAAAGGAGAAAAGCTTGCTAACATAATTGGCAAGAAGGATGGCAAATGGAAAGCTATGAAGAGTCACTGTATGAAAAGTCAACGTATATTATGCCAACTAGGTAATAATCAGAATCATGGGCTTAACAAGTTGTCATCAGTGAGGGCCTGCTAGCAATTGCACATGAAAAAACTTTCATCTGAACTGTGATATGCCAAGGGTGTGGCTATCCTGTATGATCAGCTGATAAGAATAGCAGCCCTATTTAAGGCATCATTGAAATGTACTTGCCTATTATAATTAAAGTTTGTACCTGTTAGAACAGTTTTTGTTGGTGTGAGTGTTGATTTCTGTTACAGCTAGTAGAGCATTTCTAGTGTCTTGTTCCAAGCCTGGGTCATAACTTTTGATCAGGATGATCTAGGGTTTGGGTGCTTTCACTAATTTATCAAACATTCCTGTTTTTAGGAAGTTGTAGTGTTAGTGAAGGTTTTGGCCTGATAACCCCACTGAGGTTAGTTTCACTTGCTGAAGCAATGTGTTCCACTTGCTGAAGCAATGTGACCTATAACAGTGTTAGTTTTTGTGACTTTATCACAAGTATCTTCCTTCAGTGGTGCATGTTCTAGGGTGACTTTTTGGACAACTACAGCTTTCATTTATAAGTGGGAAGCAATAAAACTCATACTCATGATTCCAGAATGGGACCTGAAAGTGTACGATTGTAGGATTGAGACAGTGGACAGTAAAATAAGAAGAATGTGAGTCCTCTTTTTAAATATGATCTTTAAGTCAGGTTGAAGAAGACTGGACTAATCTTATTGGAATGCTTTGGGTTGTCAATAAGGTACCTCTGAGGTTCCAGCT